GACGAACTGAAACATACTGACATACATGCCACTGTCCAATCTCCTATCTAACATGCATAAAGTCACCAGAAAAGCTGCAGTCTTATTTCTAATGTTTGCTATATCGTGATTTCTTCCTTTGTCAATTGTCGCATGTCACAAAGCTATGTCACACAGATTTATGCACAGGGTTTAACAGGAGTCCTACCGTTGATGTCTGCAGCATAGGTTTTGATTAGCTCAGCATTGGATTTCTCTTATTTATGGCACCCCCGCGAATCACATGTGATCAGGCCGTATCCTGCTTTAGTTATATTCTACACGCTAACTGTGTTTAAATTGTTGGAAACCGGAGTAGTAGGATTTTGCCACCTGTGTGTTTCTTCAACTTCCTCATTGTTGCCGTCACTCTCTGCTGTCTCCACTGGCATCAGAAACTTGGTGGAGAAAACAAAGCACCAAATTACAGTTCTCCATTACCTCCATAGCTACACTGTAACCCTTTAATATACAACTATGCATGAAAGTTCAGAAATTAACCCCTAATGATGCCATCAAGAGATGTGGTCAAGAGTGTAATTGGGCTTGGAGACTTAAAAAGTTTAGACAGAAAGCCTCTATTCTATTGAGAAGGGTAGGATACTTTTTTTTTAACCATATTAGTGAGTAAAAGTTAAGTAATTCCAACTTTATGAAATAACAATAAAATAATCTCTCGTGTACCACTCTAGTGCACACAATTCCTTCATCTTCAGGATACATTTCCAAATGTTTTACTCAAGTTCAGTTTTTCGTCATTGTTAAGTTAAGGGGCATACTGGAGTTCCGGGAAAATTTCAAAGCAGTCTGAGTCTGAGCTGTCACACACACTTACAGAGTCTGTTGCTAGTTTAGTTACAGCAAATGTCTCAAATTGTCACTTCCAGAGTCTGAACGTAGCCAAAAAAGACTGCAAAAACACTCCAGTGGTCAAATTCACTCAAATAAAGCCAGACAAAAACACACCTTTTGTGACTGCTTTCATATTGTGACATTTATACTGGAAACCTCAGTCACACACTGCGATGTGATCTCTTTTTTTGAAGTTATCTGCGGCATCTCCAGCGCTGGCTCCCCTGTCCCTCTGACTAATGGCATCTGACAGCGTTAGCGTTGTAAATCGCTTCCTCCACTGGAGCTGCAGGACTGAGGACCATATTCGGAGAAACAGATGAGAAAACAGAGGGAGGGGAAGGAACGAGGGTGTGTGTCTGGGAAACAGAAAGAAAAGACAAAAGAGAGGGTGTTTATATTCTGAATATCTGTGGCTGAAAAAGTTAGATATTGAAAGAAAAAGAAAGCGAGGGGGAAAAAAAAGGGAGAAAATAAGCTTTCGACAGGAAAATGAAGTGAGAGGTGGACAGAGAAAATGAGAGGAGGTGGAGGAGAAACTGAGTGAGAGAATGAGTCAGAACCTTATAACGCTTGCCAGTATGGAAACGACTCGGCCGAGCCAGGTCGAGATTGTGTGTGTGTGTGTGTGCACGTGTGTGTGTGTGTGTGTGTGTGTGTATGTGCGTGTGTCCTGCAGCTTGATGTAATTAAGTGAAGTTTTGAGCACCAACAGCAGTTTGTATCCATTTTAGTTTTCATGAACAAATCATGGCAACATTCATATACACACATATACACACATATACACCCCCCCCCACACACACACACACACACACACACACACACATAGGATTAAGGGTGTATTAGGGATCACTTTCAAGTCAAAGAACGTGGGGTCGTGGAACCAGGCCACAGGTCAAACACACAGGAGATTTACGATTGCAGAGAAAGATACACAAACACACACACAATTACACACAGACACACACATGGTTTGTTTTTGCCAAAGGTAGTCTGGCCTGGCCTGACGTATTCTATTGTTGACACACACATGCACACGCAGAAATGTGTTTCTGGCAGTGGTCGTCCTGCGGCATTAGTTCACTGCGCACACAGACACACACACATGCAGAATCATCAGGTTTTTATTGATCTTTATGTGGGCGGGGCTAACAGGCTCTATTGAACCAGTTCAGCTCTCTCTGTCTCAGTGTCTTTGTCAGCCTCAAATTCCTCTAAATGTTTTACGCTCTTATTTTGAAGGAGTTATGGAGGGGAAATCGTCTGCGCCAGAGCTGAAACAAACAATACAATGACAAAATAGATCACAATTTACAATTACATTATAATAGTCTTTCATTTGGATTATGTATATTTATTTATCTCAGTATTGTGTGGATGTTATTATAGATTTGTGTTATATACACCTAAAACTAAACCATTAAATGACAGCCATCCTCCTACTTGATGTGTAAGCCATAAAACAAAATTAGGTGTGCTGGTAAATGAAAATAATTAACAAGGTGGAGACACAAACTGGAGTTTAGAGCCCATTATTTTCAATCCTCAATAATGTATTATTGCCATTACACTATGTCCATTAACCAGAGGCGAAAAAAGATGTTCAAACTGTCCTCCAAGAAATAGTTTTACATTATTGGCTTTCTCATGGAGAGTTAAACAATAAGATCAATGCCATTTTTATGTCTGTGTTCAGCTCCGTCGACATAGTTTGCATTTAGTCAACGGTGCAATTTTCTTGTTTTTTGTACGTTTTATTTATAAAATGCAGCCCTCGCATAGTTACAGAATAGTTTTTTAGTTACTGAAAGGTGCTCCCCCCCGATGTGAAGATCCATTATATGAACAGAAAAAATATATTATAAAAATATATTAAATATTAAATACATATATAAATATTCAAAGCAAGCTCAGTTTGCTCCGTCAATCCACCAGTCATTGAAATAAATGGATTACAGTCATAGATTTTGTTGTTATGAATGCAGATGGGACTAAACCCAAAGACTGATTTGTTCACCATACTTCAATCTGCTCACCAGTGGAAGTAACGGCCAATATCCTCTCTAGTTTATCATGATTTAGTGCATCAAGATGAATGCGCGTGTCAAGCTTCCGGAGGGCATCTTTTCAGCCTATATCCTGGCTGATCGTTGTCGTAACTGTGAGCGAGGGCCACATCTGCATACCGGTAATTGGTTTGCAGTTTATGGTATTGTGAGTGCTCCCCAGGGACGCAGGGGGTTCATTTAAATAAGTTTTGGTCACAGTTGTGTCCAGAGAGATCCATGCTGAGTGAATCATTTGCTGTGTTAACCAGCCTCTCTTTATATACGATAGTACGCAGGCTAGCCCTCAGCAAAGTCTGTTAACAGCAAAGACAGAAGCTCTGCAGCAAATATAAATGTGTCAAGTAAACAGAAATGGACTAAATTAGGTGTTTGCTCACCAGAGATATGAAAATAATTGTTTTGGATGGTGCAAGCGGGAGGCTTTTATTGGACTGTAGAAATTGCAGTGTTCAAGAACCTCCATGCGGCATCACACTCATTATGTACAAGATCGCTGTATTTGTGAGCCTGTAATGAAATACAGGATCATTTGTTCAGAAATTCTCTCTTCCTTCCTTTTCCACTTGGCTGAAAACACTGGAAAAATAACCACTCCACCCGACAAAATGTCTGAAAGTATCTAAACATTACTACCATGGTTTGAATCGGTCGGATTCTTCTAATGCCAAATGGAGAACACTGATTATGTCGTCATGTTTTCAAATCCCTTTCCAGTTTTCAAAGTGAGGGATTTAGCACTACTAGCTGATTGAATGGAACAGTTTTCTGCCCACTGTGGCTACTAATAAGGTTATAATGGTTCCATCTGCATAATGGAAGCCGATGATATTTTATTTAAGCTGGTTTGTTTTGAACGTGGTGCAGAGGACTGGGTGCCTCTGGGAAATCTAGGTGGATGGCTGATGAAAGCATTTGACCTAAAATAATACAAATAATACAATAATGTGTGTGTGTTCAGACGGAGGTGGCCTGGATTGTACTTGGATCAGTATCTTTTTGTTCTCTTATCTAGTTTATTAGCTTGTTTGAAAGCAGCTGATGAGCTGTTGCCAAATCTACGAGACATCATGAACACGCTGCAGCGCAGACTTCCAGTTTTCATAATTATTTTTCATAGTGTGTCACATGCTTTCAATCAGCAGCAAAGTGAAAGACAGACTGTAGCAGCAGGGTGTCAGTATTCTGTTCAATGTACAAATGCACAGCAATTTATTTTATAGAATCAATGCATAGTTAATAATAAATACAACTCCTCCTAAATGTTACACACTTGACCTAAATAGTTTATGATGGCAAAGGCTCACCCAAAGTTTAGATTCTCAATACCAGGATGTTGTAGGACGAAACACCAAATATGGTCTAAATCCAAACAAATGCTAAACTAGTGGTCTCCAACATATTTAGCTTGTGCCCCTTTAAAGCAAACCAATGGCTGCTCACTACCATTATTGACCAGGCATGAGAAAACCAGCAACAAGTCTCCCGAGAGGCATTTTGAGTTATTTACAGATTCTGAAAGTGTAGTTTCTAAGCTTTCCAATGATGTCTAACACATGGATATGATAATATTGATCATATTTGAAGAAGTTGTGGCCATTTGAATGTATGCACATCTCAAAACCCTTTAGGGAGAAAACAGCCCTAGAACATTTGCAATTCTCCCCTCAGGAAATTCTTACCCAATCCCTAGTCAACACAATGGTGCTCTTTTGCATCTCATTAAGATAAGCCCTACCCCCTGCACTCAGTGACATATGGTATCTGTTTTGGTATTGTAGTGGTTTGAACAATGGTTATCAAAAGCAGTTATCATGTAGTTAATGTTGATGTAGTGTTATTTTCCTTAAGCACTTTAGTGGACTGATCAGAATTAGAAGGTACTTTATTGAAATGGAAATGCTTTTATTACAAAAAGCCCCTGAATATCATTCATTAATACACAGGATAAAATGTTACAATCCCTTGTGCCATAATCCAAGGTATAAACCACATCTACACATCTACAAACACATCAGTTTAACACTCTGTAAAGCGACATGAGATGTGTGTATTGTTTTGGTGCTCTATAAGTGAAATTAAATTGAAATTGAAATCTAGAAGTGCAGTGTAGATGGATCAGTCTGTTGCTGAATGAGCTCCTGTGGCTGATCAGCACATTGTGGAGAGGGTGTGAAGGAGAGTCCAATTATTTGGTGATATCACATCCGCATCCTCTTCTGCATACTCTTCTGTGGACTCTTCTGTGCTGTGACCCTTGGCGCCGGGCATGTGATGTCTCTTGCCTCGTCAGCACAGAAAGGCCTGATTTTTTCATAAAGATAGGTCTGCCTGTCAATGTTCAGTCCAGGTGGTGCTAGGACAGGAAGACTGTCAACAGCCAACAGTCAACAACCGCTGAATCGCACAGTAGCTGGAATTCAACAGGTTGTGCATCACAGTGAGTTCTTGCAAGCACCACACCTGGTCTCTTAGCATCAAAGCTGTGACAGAATAAGCACATAACAGGACATTTTAAAACATGGCTAACTATTTTCCCATAAAACACTATCATGGCCATGAAATTATTTTTTATATGTACACAATGTGAAAGTTTCAATATAAAAACCGGAAGTGCTGATAACTCTTGATCTGTGGGAGCTTTCGGAACTTGGGACTCAGATGCTTCTGCCAGTCGAAGGTCTCGACTAACACTCTTCCATCTGCATTTCCAACAAGCTGTGGGATATTGAGGTGACTCTCAGGAGAGCTGTTTTCCACTACCTGATGACAAAAAATGAACGTTAAACGTTTCATTGAAGCAGAACAGAGAACAGCACTGAAGTCATTCATGTTAAAAGCTCTGTGTTGACAATTTTTACACAAGCCCAAAACTGTTCCCGCGACCTGCTGGAAAACTAACCTCAGCGATGTCTGCCAAAGTGTTGACTCTGGTCTTCATGTATGCTTGCTTGATTAGTCCAAAGCCACAGTCAGGGGGTAATTTGGTGTGGCCAGCAATAAGGAAGTGGATGTCAATTGTGTCACGAAGCTTGTGTCCAACCCGCCATGCAGCGTACCAGAGCATGAAGTTGTTTTTGTTTTGCCCACTGCAGTTGTCACAGTGAAGATCCACGTCTGTTTCTCCAACTCCGAAGTTGCTGAAGAAATGATGCATGTAGCTGATGACTTCATTGCTCCCCTTACTTGACGACATGCCTTCATCAATCAGGAAATTCACCTGTTTTTGCAGCCCTTCACAGGAGACACCAAAAAGGCCACATTTACGTGGAGTCAGGAAGAACATTGGCCCGGACTGAAGAGGGTTTGAGGGAAAGTGTATCTGAAGAAGACAGAGGGAGAGAGGGAAAGGGGATTAGATTAAATGAAAGACATGTCGATTCATAACTGTCTAATAAATATAGATATAGATTACTATATTGCTGCTATTCTGCATTTGCACTATTATTAGGCTACTTATTCTCCGTGCACTTTATTGTACAGTAACGCTTGCTGTGTGTGTCTGCTGCAAACCAAATCGCCCTTTAAGGGACATTTAATAAAGTGAAGTAAATGATGTGTGATAAATAGTACCTGCTGTGCAAAATCAAAACTGTAATGCATCCTGATCTTCTTGCTTGCTGATGGGGAGGGTCCCAAAGACAACTTAGAGTCAGCACATGTCTTTCTGCAGGCAGCAGTCATCTCGTTGTACACAGCCCTCTCTTTTTGCACAAGGGCAAGATGATCGTGTTGCTTCTTGACCGCTTCAGACTTTCTATCATCTGGGAGGTTTGCACTTCGTACCAGCTGTTGGTTATTGTTTTGGCACTGCCAGCAGAGATCTGTACGTGGCCTGCAACTTCTGATGAGTGGGAGAAGCTGGTTCCACTGTGCTGTGAAGCGTGATTTAGAAACTGCACGCTCATCTGAAAAACAGATATTACTTACGATTATTATACTTTAATTGCTAATAGTGCTTCACATTACTTCACATTACAAGCACTTGATTCGAAATCAGTTTTTACACATACCAAGCTCCTTCGCAGACTTGACGTAGAGACGCCAAACTGAGGCCTTAGACACAAGGGTTGGCAACAACTTCACATGCCAATCCCTATGCTCAGGATGTCGGCCAGGCAGCATGATGGCATTGTCTTCTGCATAGTTCTTCTTCTTCTTTTCTTTCTTCCTTAACCGTGGTCTTGCCCCATTCTCCTCAAAGTGTTTGATTATATCAGTCAGGGTGTCTTTGCCAATTCTGAGGAAGGAAAACAAAGAAGTGTCACATCATGGGTCTTGCTAATGATGTATCCAAAACTGTCATCCAAACTGTTCCTCAAGTAGACTAGTTGCTAAAGCATTAGCATCACAGTCAATTCAAGCAATCTTAACAGGCACTTTGGCACCTTACCCTGGATGTATTCACCAAAAGTATCCTCCAGTAAGGTAGGTGTTAAATCATTAGCATCAGTCAATTCAAGCAATTCAAGCCTTATTCAAATTAATAGCAGATGCTCCCATTACTAGCCAAAGTCAGTACAGCTTAGTCTCGGTGTGCATATCATTTTAAAAAGGTATAAACATGAAAACAGAAAATATGAGATAACAGTTTGTAATCCCTGTGACTTTGAATGAACACATAACGCAAAGTAACTATAACTTGGATGTTAATGGAAACTCACCCCATAAGAAACTGAAAAGTATTCCTGCAGACTTCATTGCCTCCGATGGAATAAGTGGTCCGGGGGCGCTTTCTCTTCGTCTGGGGCTTTTTGGTGGATGTAGTCATCTCCGAAGTAACAACTGTGCGTCTGTTTGCCTCGAGATGTCCAATTATTCGCATGTCTCTTTTTGCAAAACACAAAATGTATACTTTTAAGGCAACCAATACTGTTATCTGAAACATGGAGTGGCTTCTTCGTGATCTCAACTTGCACATTCTGCAAAAAAAAAAAAAAAAACGAAAATCACTAATTTTGAAAAAAAACCGATAGTTTCTTTGTTTATGTGAATTTCTCCCAGCCGACTTGCTGCTGGTTCAGTTCTGAGCAGTTCAACCAAAGAGTGAAGACTGATCTGTATTTCACTTCAAGGAAAAAAATAAATGATTTGTACAGTAAATCCAGACTAGAGCATTCTGTAAGACTACAAAACACACATTTATAGTATATGAACCAACTAATAATGTAGTGGGTGACATCATCCGGAGATGTCTCCGAGATCGGTCCTGGTGAATCACACAGCTATTTTTTTTATCAGATCTACCTCATTCTAATTCAGGCATATTTTCTTTCTTGAAACAAAACAAAAAGCTCAAAACTTTTATCCTCCTTTTATCGTCTTCCTTCATTAAATTTCAAATTAAGTCATCTAATCAGATGAGATCAAACTCTCTGTTCCACAGTCCTCTCCTCTGTCAGCATTTTTAAATCAAATCCAGCTTTTAATCCTGCCCTCAACCTGACCAGCGGTTGTCCTTCCCCTCCCAAAGCCCTCAGCATAATGAGAAGGTTTGCTTTTTATTTAACAGAGAAACTCAAATGAGGTTTTGTTTCAGAGCTGATGTTTTATGGTCCGAATAAGTTTCCAGAGGCACCGATGTACCCCTTCCTGTCCTCTGCTGGCCTTTTATCATCAGATCCACCACTTACTGGCTCTTCTCTTCTTCCTTTGCAGTTATTGCATGAGAAAATATGCTTTGCTTCAAGGAAAAAGGTTTAAAAATAGTGTTGTTTTAATGCAAATATATGATTTATGCTAAAATATTCAGTAAACACCCTGCTGTGCCCTCTCCTGTCAGTCCAGATCCAGCTCCGGCCTTCTGTTTGGTCTCTCTTCCTCTAACCTTCAAACATTTCTCCCTTCTGCTTGCTTCTCTGTTAATATTGCAAAAGAAAATGTTTGTCCATTTGTTTCTCAAAACCTGTTTGTTTCATTCTGTTTTCATTCTACATCTATTATTGTGGTACTAAATAAAGTTGAGATATTGTCAGTTGAGAAAGTAACTGTTTAGACTTAGAATATTTTGTCATTTTATTAAAATAATGCCTTCCTGAACATTTCTTCTTATATTTTTGGAGACGTGAGGAATAGCTAACCTTGGCTCTTGGCAAGCCCTTGAACACTGAACACAACACTGACAGGTGATCACCTTTTAAGTTGATGTGGCAACCTGCTTACATATGCATCCAGCTGTTAAGGTCAATCTTCTTTTTCCTCTGTTTTTGGTCTTTACCAACTCCTGAAGGGTTACTTAGCTGTTAAATGCACCACCATATTCAGCAGTTAGATTCTAACCGTGCCTGTCTGCTGTTTGGTGAAGAGCAGGTAGTGTACAGTGGGTTTTTAACAGCGAAGTTGAGGGCTGAACAGCAAAATAATGAGCTGAAACTTGCTGTAATGCTCTGTAAAGCTGGGGGGAGCTGCAGATTCTTGTGATAATTCTCTGTAGTTTCCTCATCACAAGCAACCCCTTTCACAAAAAATTATTGATTATGGATGCTTTAAGAACTTGAGTTGCAACTTTACATTAACCACCATAAGCTACTGATCACAGCAGAATAACTAAGGCTGTAGTGACAAAACTGTAGAAAAACAGGTTAAATGAAGTCTTGGTTTAAGCAGCAGTATCTTGACTCTTTGAGTCGGAGCTCATATCAGTATTTTCAGTTTCCAAAAATATCTACCAGAGCCTGTCCTCTGCTGGCCTTTAGCCCAACTAAACCAACTGTCTGTCTTGAATTGGCCTTTCACCACCCCCCTTGTCTCCTCCCTTCTCACCCTCCATTACCCCTCATCAAAACCAACAGGGGGTCTTATTAGGGGGCCACAGGCCCATCTGCACCATTGTCACCCTCTGAAAGTTAAATTAAAGACTATCCCTCTTTCTCTGTCTATCTGCCTCTCCCTCTCTCGCCCCAGCAGGCCAGCCTAATCAGGTAAATATTGAGAGGATTTGTAGCTCTTTGTAATGTGGCTCGGGCCGCCCCAATGCTAATTCTGCTGGGCGGCAACAACTCCTTAAATACAGCTGTGGTGAGCCGTGGTGATGGAGATAAAGACGGGTTGGGGAGGAAAAAACTCTGCTGTGGGACACAATGGGACGGCCTGCGGGACGCGTGGGAGATTTTATAGGGGAAGGGAGTGGGAACGAGGGAGGCTGGTCGACACTTCTCAGCCAGAGAGGCATCAGTGCTTTTACCCTTGGAAAGAGTTTTGACCGTCTAAGTTTTTTTGTCCCTGATGAGGAGTCATTCCCAATTTGATTTCTGCTCTGTGCTGCTGCCCTGGATGCGAGAATATTGGAGAAAGAAATCCAATCCTAAAGATTGTCTTCGAAATTCAGCCAAGAACGGTTTCCTGTTATGTCAGCCTCTGAAACTATGTTCCAAAAAATCTTAATGGATAAGGCCTGTGACATTCTCTACAAACCAGAACTAATGTGTTGGCACTGTATCGTTTAGCAAACGTAACTCAAGCAGGAGTAATTTGTGCATTTGTTTGGGACTATTATCAGCTGCAGGTTAATACATACTTGGCACCCTATAGTCCTAACAGCAATGATATCTCCAGAAACTGCAAAAAGAAAATGCAAACTCACCGGATGGTTGGAAAATTTTTCTTCATTTTCCTCATTAGACTCAATACTATCAGACTTGTTTTTTGCCCAAGGAGCTGCAGAATCATTGTTTTGCAACTGTCACTGTACCTGCAAACCTAATCACATTCACATAAACCTCAGCTATACTTAAATTAGCAAACGATAGCATGCTTACAAAATGCTAACTGAAAATGGCATTTAATTAGCAATTAGCTCAAAGCACTGCCTAAGTACAGCCTCACAGAGCTGTTAGCGTGGCTGTAGAGTCTTAGTGTTTATATTTTTGGACAACGGTGGAGCGCTATGGCTTAGAGCAATAAGCAATATGTTAGGCTTTGGATAAACAGGCAATAGTTCTTAGTACAGTTCACTTTAATCCTTTTCTCATTTCTTTACAATTGAACCCACACATTCACCTTGGACTGCTGTGTTTTCCTCTTAATGTCAAAGAAAAAGAAAAAAAGCAGTTGCAAGAACTGAAAGCAGAGACGTGATTCAGCTGGAGGCGCTCAGCAAAGAGCATGAGGGAGGAGGAAGAGGAGGAGGAGGAAGGAGAGACGAGAGCGACGGGAGGGAGGAAAGACGGGGAGGTGAAGAGCCAGTGAACAAGAAAAGAGATTTTCAAGAAGACAAGCAGCGGGAGCGAAGGAGGAGGAGGAGGAGGAAGGGGGAGGGAGAGAGGGAGGGAGAGAGGGAGGGAAATGGAGAGGAAGAAAGAAAAGAAATGGGAACTAGGCGCTTAAGCACGGTTGTGTCCCTGTGGACGGCTGAGCGAGGATGCATGCGTGTGATGGAATGACATGTCAGCGCCGCATCTGCTCTGTTTGCCGCTCAGCTGGGTTGCCATGACGACCAGCCCATCCTCGCTCGCTTGCCTTCTTCCTTTATGCATCCTTCTCTCGCTCGCTCTCTACTTGCATCCCTCCCCCGCCCTCCCTCCGTCTAACTCTGACTTACATAAACCTCTTCTTTGTATAAACGCAGAGTTGCTCGGAGGTTGAGTGCATTGAAGTCTCCTTGAAAATGTGATATCAGGCGTCATCTCTCTCTCTCTTTCTCACTTATGCCCACACTCAAAATGTCTCCTGGCCCGTTGCCAGCGTTTCCCTTCAGCTGGTGAAATAAAAGCATCAAGGATTCAGGAAGGATACAGGAAGTCGTTCGGTGAAAGGAGCCTGCTTAGCATTTAGAGAACGTAGCTGGAGTGGCCATACGCCCCGACACCTCCATTCACTTCATACTCCCTTGTCTTTGTGTGTGTGTGTGTGTGTGTGTGTGTGTGTGTGTGTGTGTGTGTGTGTGTGTGAGTGTGTGCTTGTATTACTCACGTGGGGACATTGTGTAAGCAACCACATTGTGGGGACTTGCCTTCCTTTTAGGGACAATACGCAAGTCCCCATAACTTAAATCATAAAATTTTAGGGTGAAGAATTTGTTTAAGGTTAGGGTAAAGATAGGTCTCCTGGGAAGTGGAGTCATGGAAACACAACAGCATGTGCACTTGTCTAATGTCCATATGTGACAAAGAAAGGAAAGGAGAACATGGTGAAGTGATTTGTCATTCGTTAAAAGTCCAGTGTTTTTTGGAGGATCTACTGGCAGAAATGGAATATAATATTCATAGGTATGTTTTCATTAGTGTATAATCACCTGAATTTAATCATAGCCATGTTGCACCACCATGTTTCTACGATATCCTAGAACAGACAAACCACACACTGGATCTAGATAGGGCCTTTCACGTTTTATTTCTACCATTTTCCCCACTTCTTTTGCAGTTTTTTTTGCAAACATAAACTCTGTAGTTATTTCAAAACCCCTGGATCCTCAAAACCTACTGAAACAACATCTCTGATATACATGAAAAATACACGAGTAAGAAGATGAGTTCTGCTTCCTTCATGCTTGTATACTCTGTGTGTGTATGTGTGAGCCTGACAGCCTTGTGGTAAAAAAAAACTTTCTTTAGACAACAACACAGCCATAAATGGTAACCTCAAACTGGATGTCCTTTTGACAAAATGAGTGAGACAAATAATAATATTGTCTTGTTCTATATTGTTATGGTTATTAGTGGTAATATTGCATAATCAAGTGTACAAAAGGGGTAATTCCTCTAATTCAGTTATGGTCATATACTAACACCCCCCTGACCAGAGAGAAACAGTATACATTATACAAATAACACCTAACAAACACAAAAATAAAAAATACATTAAGTATACATAATATCCACATGAGCCTACTTACTTCACATATACACACATACATACAAACACAAACACACACTCACTCTTTTCACTCATGGTAAGCAGTGCTGTAATACATATCTCGTTACTAGTAGTCTCAGAACTACAGGATAAATGTATGTATGATGTATGTATGTATGTATGTATGTAAATATACATACATACATACATTATAAATAGTCACAATTCAATATTGATACATTAATGTACTTCTGGAGCCCCAATTTCTAATTCATCTTCTATATATGCATATTCTATATATGCAGAAATTGTATTTATTGAATTATTCAGCTTCCGGCGCCATAGAGTAGAGTTGGTTTGTGCGTCCATGAGAAAACTGGGCAAGACGTAATCTTAAAGGAGCAGTGTGTAGGATTTAGCATAGCGGTGAAATTGCAGACTACAACCATTTGAATACAGCTAAGCTTTCCAAGTGTGTAGGAGAAACTACAGTGGCTGCAAAAACTATTCCCTATGTAGTTAAAAACAGCTCATTCTAAGGTAACAAAAACATGATTCGTATTTTCAGGATTATAAACTAATGAAAACATACCTATGAATATTAGTCAATTTCTGCCAATAGATCATTACACACTGGACCTTTAACAATACTTTTATAATACGTTTATAATGGAAACAGATCCTATGTTCACACAGACAGAGTAATGCACAGCCACACATTGTTCCACACACTGAGACGGTGAAACAGCGTCGCGCAGCAGTTATAGTCTCGTTAAGTGGTGAAATAGATTTGCCATCTTAGATGCCAAACAGTCTGTAGACAAAGCCATCTGCCTCCTTCGTTTATGTCCTCGGGCGGACACCATACTCTGCCAAACGGCCACGGAGGGAGTCTGGGACTCAGATGTGTGTGTTTGTGTGTGTGTGTGTGTGTGTGTACACATATGTGCCCATAATGTACATCTACACATGGATGCCCATATGCATTGTGTTAGATTTGATGATCGCAAAATGTCTTTTACGATTGTGTGTGTGTGTGTGTGTGTGTGTGTGTGTGTGTGTGTATGTGTGACAGCGAGTGTGTTAATAGCAGGAAAATGCCCCGGGCTTTGTTTTTCTTCTTCACTTTCTATTTTCAGACACACAAAGTGATGACATTATCCTTTTTGAATAAAGAGTCGTCCAAAACCTGCCGACGGCTCTTTCATCCTGCTAACACGCCTGCGGTCGATTACTTCACAATAACACAAGATTTATGTAACATGCATGAAACACGAAAACAAGTTTTTAGAGTTAAATGTGAAGAGCCTTTTTCAGATTGCACACCAAGGCAGTTAAATATAATCAGGAACAGAAAGGAAATCCTGAATGTTCATAAACAGGCTACATTGGAATAGGGAGGTGCTTAAAGCAAGTGTGACTGTTCAGTGATATTTAAAAAACAAATAAATGGATCTTTAGCTATAAAAGGAAAAATTTACTTGCTTACACACAATTTACCAAGTCCAAGCATCTCACGCAACCACTAAGATGTGGTTTTACCCGACTAACTATTTCCTTTTTTGTCTGTTCTCTATTTTCTTCCCTTTCTCCCCGTCTGCTCCCTGCTCATCTTATTTCACACCTCTCATCTTTTCATCCTCTCGCTGCCACGTCTCTACATTTCAAAACCTTTCCTCTGTCATCTACCATTTATTCTGCTTTCTTTCCTCTAACTCCTATTTTTCTCTTCCTCCTGACACTTTCAACCTCTGTCCTCCATTCCCCTTTATTCTGTCTCTTTTAGATGTAATGTCCAGGATTACATCTGGCACAAGGGTGCTCGCTGCGAGTCGGTGGTGACCGAGTTCCAGGTGATGTGTCTGGCCGTGGGCGCTTCAGCTCTGGTGGTCCTGCTGCTCTTCATGATCGTCGTCTGCTTCGCCAAGAAGCTCCACGTGCTCAAGACGGAGAACAAGAAGCTGCGCAAGCGCAGGTGAGGCTCCATCAAGAGTCTGAACCAAGTGATAGCTAAAACTAGAAGTACTCCATCTTCCCTTTTTTTATTGGTTGAGTGGGTCATCCTGTCCCAGCTTGGAAGCATGACTCACTCCAATTTACAGAGAAAAGCATGAAAACATATAATTTTTCAGTCTTTTTTGGGGCTATACCTTAAACTCATACTCCCTAGATTTATTTTAAGTAAACTCAGTGAAACTCCATCAGACAAAATCTCCTTTTAGTGTGTGTGATGTGTCCTGCAGGCTCCACACTCGTCTTTGAATCAGTGGATTCATTTGTCCAACTTTAAAAGATCAATCAAACAAAACAAAAAAGTCAAGTCTTTAGTGCTTTGCTCAAAGGCATTCTGCTGCCGCAGATTTATTATCATTACCCAGCAGACACTGAACCTCGGCTGCGGTACATTACTCCTATCAATGTTAAAGATTGAATGAGAAAGGCTTTGTTTCTGTGGCTGGCACTGCCTCTGGGCCAAACTGCTGCTCCGGCTTGTGTTTAGTGTGAAGTTTAGAGAATGACAGAGAGAGACTGGTCGATAGAGAATGAGCAGTGGGCAAAAGAAGTTTGGTAGAATTAAAATCTAAAGGCTAAGTAGACAAACCAACTGCTTTACACACTCAATGAAATTCAATCAGTATGTCAGTGGTGTCTAGAAATACGTCTTGGAGAGGGTTAGTAGTCTTCGTTTAGAAGTGTAAATAAAGTAAGCATGAGGCAGATATTTGTGTTGTGAAGTGTGTTGATCAGATCCAAATGTCAGCAGGAATCCATGCTTAAGTTCCAAAAAGTTGTCTTTCCTAAATAACAAAGTCAACGAAAGTTAGTATGAGCGTTTTTCTGGTGTGGGATCTCAATTTAGGTTTAGTTTTTCCAGGTTAGGCCACTAAAAATAGAGTGAATCTATGCCATTGTTTCCCCAGACTGTTTCCCCTTAAAACAACAATCAATATCCTAACTGCAGCCCATTGTTAGAAGTTATGGTCTGTGAGTAATTTTTTTCTTTTTTCATCTCAGATTGTTTCATTTAATGGATGTTGAAAGCTCTGAAGAGCGGAAAGTATCCAGTATTTCACAAGCAAAAATACAAATTTAGTCTCACCATAGGTAACCAGGTAATTGGAGATCCAACCAATCGTCTGGGGATTTCCAGGTTCAAAGTTGTTGGTTGAACGGCGGTGAGAAAAGATGCTAACAAACGTACTGCCCTTACTTTAAGGACATACGTTACCGGAAACAATGCTCTCCCCTCATTCTCCTCAGTATTGAAACAAACTGGTGACATTGCAAATCACTTTGCAACAAGGAGAGAACTTTATAAAACATTGAAAATGGATGTGAGTCTAAATTTTGTATAACAGTCATTTTGAGATGAGATTCATCTCTGGACCTCTTGGAGGGTCCCGACCTGCAGGTTGGGGTTTGATTTTTCGCTGATAAACGAGCTGTATGCTTTCTTGAAAATCTTCCAGAGTGCCGCTTTGGATTCTACATGTAATTGAATCTTAATTGAATATGTGTCACTGCTACGAAGAAGCTTGAATACTTTTTGTAAAAAGTCAGAAGCTCACAGCAGAGTTAGTCATTTTATTGAGAGAGAATACTTAAACATAAAAGAAGAAAGGCAGGAGGATTAAATGACAGCATGTGTCCTTCACAGAGAAAGACGAGCCTTAGGAGGCTTTTGTGGCCTGAACACAGGAATTATTTTTCATAACAATATCCTCTTCTCACCGTTACATTTTCAGGCAAGAATGATTCAAGAATCAGGAATGACTCAGGCAGTAAAAGTTCAGTGGCTTGCTCAGGATTTATATGACAAGAATTGAGTCTAGTTACTTTACAACTTTTCAACAACAGTCACAGCATACAGAGAAATTTGGGTTTTTCTGTACCAGTTTTAATTTAAAAAAGTGTAAAAAAGCTTTCACATTCGATTTATTCCCATGTTTTTATCCATACTCATATCTTGTTCTCCCATTTTTACTGATTTAAACAAATAATCACTGTTGCTGTGGTGACCCTGTTTCCTTCTGGTCAATAAAGTCCATCTTATGAATTTAATTTGAACATTCATGAACCAAATTTATGTACAGATACAAGCAAGTATAAGGTTGTAAAGGTGACGCTGCAATTTGAATCATCCCACATTTCAGTTAGTGGCAGCAAAACGGATGTGAAGGTAGAAAAAAAAAGATGAGGTTGAGAAGGATGAGGAGGGTCTATGAGACAGAGGAGGGGGGTGGTGGTGAGGATGGGGATGGGCGATGAAGAAAAAGAGAGAGAGACAAGGACAGTCTCAGGGAGGAGGAGGGGGTAGGCTAGATCTGCTGGAATAGGAAACGAACAAGTGAGGAAGACAATGAAGGAATGCAGGAGGTGGGAGGGGCGGCATGGCGAGCTGATGGTGAGCAGCCGGCAGAAAACCAGATGACAGAACAGATGAAGGAGGCAGCGGGAAGAGAAGCCGGTGGACACTCTCAGAAAAAGGTGTTCTGTGGAGGATATTTAGAGTATTGTATCAAGCTCTTTTGAACCTTATGGTGCTGTAAAACATTTTAGAAAGCAGCATTTTTTTATTATATCATTTGACTTCACTAGTAACATTAGAGGGAGGCAGAGAAAACAAGAAAATAGAGAAAGGTTTGAATTTATTCAGCTCCCCATCCTCCTTACACAATGTCCCATATTGATGGGAGGTGGAAACTTGAAACCCCAGAAATTCATTACCTTGTTAGGGTTTTTCTCTTTCTCTTTCGTTCTTTTCCTCATGAAATATGAAATCATTTTCATCCCTCAGGCCTCATCTTTAAAATTAAAGAAGCTGAATCATGCTTTTTGCAAACTATTCATCGCTGGGCATTACCGCAGGAATTGCATGATGATCGGCAAAAAGGTGGAAAACTGTTAATTAACAGTCATGTATATGATAAAATGTTCTAATATAATCAAACCAAGCACAGAACCATTGAAGAACCCTGAAAAAACCCAGATTTCTGAGTGAAATATGGAGAGAAAAAGACCATAAGAGGGAGGTGGATGAATACAAACTGAAGGAGAGAACGAGAGTGACAGACAGATTGAAGGACTGGGATGAATATAAAAAGGAGTGGTGGGGTGGAGGGGAGTTGTTTCAGCATTGCTCTGCCGGTGCCGGTGTTTTAGCAGCTATCTCCCTAGCAACAGAGCCGTCGTAGATGAGCAGCAGCCCGGCGACCGAGCGCCGTGGATGCAAATGTGAACCGAAGCACCAAATCCTCAACACCAGATCCCACGCTACAGGGTCTATTTTTAGCTGGACGTGGAAGGTTATCATGCTAGTCATGGTAGAGAAGATTATGGATGATGAAGATGATGGTGAGGAGGAAAAGTGGCGCAGTCAGTAGCAGCCTTAACGCTAGTTGGAGAAATTAAAAAAAGGAGGAAAGGGTGATGTCATTGGTACTCTGGATCCAGCTGAAAGTAGGGCAGTCTGAACAGAAGGGGGGAGGGAGGGAGAAACGGGGAGGCGGGGTTGACCTACATACAGCTGTGCGACCTGAGGGTTGTGTGTGTGTGTGTGTGTGTGTGTGTGTGTGTGTGTGTCTGTGTGTTTGTGTGTTTTTGTGTGTGTGTGTGTGTGTGTAGCGGCAGGGTGCATCATGAAAGAGACAACACAGCCTCATCAAGTGGTCGGCTAAAAGAAATCGAAGAGGAGCGAGGAGGAGGAGGAGGAGGAGGAGGGTGACGGATAAGAGGAGTAAAAAGGAGGACAGGATGAAACCAAGGGGGGGAGGAGGGGGAGTGAGGGAGAAACTGTTGCAGGAGAGGAGAGAAGGAAAGAGAAAGCGAAAGATAGGGAAAAAGGAATAAGGGAGGGCGGTTACAGAGAAAAAAGCTCAGCGTGACACATTCAGAGGAGTGTGTTTGTGTGTGTTTGTGTGTGTGTGTTTGTGTGTGTGTTTGTGTGTGTTTGCACTGCTGACAAGGCTCATGAATACATGAGACTCCCACACTCCCCCATCTGCTGTGGGTAATTGCAGTCGCAGTGTTTCTCTGCCGCAGTCGAGATCAGACCCAACATCCTGGTCAAAGATGGAGAGAGACTGAAGAAAAGATGATGAAGTGCATCCTGGTTATTTCAGTGAATCTGTATCACTGCTGGCTTCGTCTGTCTGTCAAAGTAATGGCAGTTTGATGTTCTCCTTTAGGTAAATGTCCAGTGCCCCAAATTAAAAGAGAAATTATTTGTTCATGCCCTCTGGAACCGCACATACGAGTGTTTTCTGATTTGACGCCCCTGTTGACAGAATGACATCTTTTGTCTCCCGTTGTTCCATCCAACCACTCCGACCTCCCTCTGTGGACTTTGTCGCTCTGTAGCAATACTTCCTCCTTTGCTCCCGACTCACGTTTTGAGGCACTTGCTGAAACGACTGATGCTGTCATGTTTTCTTGGGAGGACACTCTGGTATTTGGCGTACGGGGTCAGATGCATAAAACTCAGAAATGTGCACACGCGTTCTTTCTGTTAAATGTACAAAGCCGCATGGACACTTGATTCTGTTTTATAAATCTCAGTCGTTGTGGAACTGAGTGCACATCCTGGAGCCTAAGTGAGACCGAAAGCAGCCCTGGTGGATGTATAAAATACGATCCAGGAAGTGCAGTTGGAGTAACAGGATAATGTGTTTGAAGGTGAAAAATATACTGCACAACAGTTTGTCAAAGTCATGATTTTACAACTCTGGAGATCACAGTGGTAACTATTTTATCTTTCATTGTGACAATCACAGGATAAAACATTCATGTTACAAAGTAATCTATCAGGTAGAGCTGCAACCATTAGTCGATTTTTTTTTTTGTGTCCAAATTCTCTGATTTCAGCTTTTCAAATGGGCATATTTTCTGGTTTCTTTTAGTCCTCTATGACAGTAAACTGAATTCGGGACAAAGAAACAGTGATCAACATTTCTTGCCATTTTCTGACATCTTTTGGACCAAACAACTAGTTGATGAATAGAGAGAATGATCGATGGATTAACTGATAATGAAAATAATCGTTAGTTGCAGTCCTACTATCAGGAATGCACACTTACCTGATGACGTCGCATAGCAACAAGCGTTGATTCTGGTTCAAGCTGTTTCCTGTGTTGGCACCCACACTGCGCTGATGAACTCCCTCCATTAAATGATCGAGAGGGCTGAGTTTCTTTATGCAAGGCTCAAGTTGGCCTGATTACCATTTTAACAGTCAGCCATAAACGGATTTAAACACGTCCATAAAATAATAGGATTGTTTGAAAATAAGCGTATTTGAGTACTTGGCAAGAGTTTGATGAGAATACTGACATTGAATCTCATTTCTGTAGAGTAAATATGAAACCAGAGCACCTCTAAAGCTCACTAATTAATATCTTGTTTGTCTAATCCGTACAAGTGTAAGAGGAGTTTTACAGAAGTTATGTGCGGTACTGTTTCATGGTAGCTGGTATTTTGTATCCAGAGAAAGACAGCAGAGTGAGAGGTCCAAAGCTGGTTTCTGGTAATAGAGTTTGAGATCATAAGTGATGATGGTAGAACAGATTTGTCGGTCTCTCTGTCGCCTTTTATTGTCCCGTCACAGCGTTTATGAAATATAAATATGGAAGCTCGCATGAGGATCAGAGAGACGGCGCAGGAAGTAGATCACAGGCTCTTTAACTATAGATATGATGCCGGAGTGAAGACATGAGCTGGAGAAACATAACGAGTCATTTGAGGGTGGTTGATGCTTTTTGGTATCTTAAAATGTTCAGAGAGAAGGTTTATGAGAGTGCGGGGCAAATGACAGCCGTTTCAAATATGAGAAGGAAAATTTGGGAGAGAGAGAGGAGACAGATCTGTGACACTCTCATCGAAGTTATTGTTTCATTTGGTCCCCGAGACAAACATCTCCTCCCTTTGAGAAGTCTGAGACGAAGAAGAAGAAAGAAGACAAAATTCAAAGAGTTCAGTCAAGAGGGAACTCCCAAAGTTTGCTACTTCTATGACGAGAGATAAAAGGAGAGTCTGTGATCATCTGCGTCTGTTTTAAAGTGGTACACCAAGTTTTCTAGAGTCGGTCCAGCTGATCAGAGCCAGAAATCATCCGTGTCCTCAGTGCGTCATTGTGGTGAGCAGAACATTTCAGTAATAAAGAGGTGTTTCTTCTCAGCATTAAACCTGAAGGTTAAACATTTTCCAGAGAAAGTATGAAAAAAAAGTATTTCTTCTGATGATAAAGTGACTCTACGAAGTAAACTCTTTCATAAGTATTAGATTTGTGCAGCTGTTAATAGTTTAGTATATCATCCTAGTGGAGGAGATACGACTTGATTATTATGCTTTTATTTTATTTTCTGTTGTTGTAAGGGGCCACCACTGATATTTTGCTATTTTATGTACAATTCCAGACTTATTCATAAACTTTAGGATAAATCTGGATTTAAAGAAATAGTTGTTGAAATTTTGAGAAATATGTTTATTTGCTTTGTGTATGTGCATGCCCCTTAAAGCTGCAGTAGGTAACTTTTATTAAAAAATACCTTTTTGTCATATTTGCTTAAACTTTCACTATATCTTGACAGTAGCACATGAACGAAAACAACCAATCAGAGCCCAGAAAGATAGAAATACAGAGGCTTCAAGCCACAAACCCAAAGCATCAGAATCGAGACTCAACAATCGACTATCCTGATGTCTGATTGGTTGTTTTCATTCAGGTGCAATAGATTCTTGCAAATGCCATTAGGAGCACTAGGAGGAGCAAGAGCAACCTCATTTTTTCACGCATTATCTGTCTTATGTACTACTGTCAGGATATAGTGAAAGTTCCAGCAAATGTGACAATAATAAAGTTACTTACTGCAGTTTTAAAACAGTAGTTTTAAAACTTTGTATGCCCAAAGCACACAAAAGGGCAAGTCAAAACGTCAAGGCACACCTGTATTCATTCAAAGCAGATTCCTTCATATTGTATGGTTGTCACAAAATCCCACCAGGATTTGCCTCAGCACACCGTTTGGGGAACCACTGCCTTAAAAGATACAGCACTAAACAAAGAGGACAGGATACATAATACCAAATTTAAAAAAAAATACTGACTAAGAAGAGATGGTAATTATTAATTGAGATAATTATTGATGTACAATATTTTTTCTCTGCAATGAAAGCAATCAGGGGTCTTTGGAAAAAAACAGGTGATTTTTCTCTGTCAGTGTCAAATACTTTCGGATTAAACAATTGTTAAGACACAGCTCATAAAAAGCAGCAGGTTCATGCCGTGTTTATTGTCGGAGTCTCTTTTAGGTGAACAAACCTTTAGTTAGCCAGAAGCTGTTTCTGCATCTGTGCTCCCTGGACAGATGTTACATAGTCATAGTCTGCATACATCACACAAACTTTTGCAAGGTCTCATTTTCTCAGTTTTTTAATCTTTCAAAACAGTGGGATTAGAGAGAAAAAGAAACTGTCTCTCCGCTGGTTAGTCACAGCAAGACAGTGGTGGGTCAAATATGAGTCAAACTTTAGTGTCTTTGGGGAGTAAGAAGCAGATAACTTTAATCTGATGGTCAAAAATGAAACATTTACTCTCCGTTTGTTGCATCACAGATAAAATGTTTGTGTCTGTTATTTTTTCTGTTTGCCGATTGACAAACAGAAGACGTCACTTGTTGTCCAACTAATGCTGCTTTCTTGCTTTTTTCTCCCCCCTCCTTTTTTCCTCTGACAATCCCTTCTGTCTGTCTTTTCTTCTACGATGTAATCTCTTTCCTAAATTTGTCCTTTTTCTTGCCTCTTTTGTCCTTTTGTTCCATTTCCGTTTCACTGTCTCTCCATTTGTCCTTTTTCGTCTTTCTCCTTCTGGATTTGCTCAAATGTCTTTTCTTCTTCTCTCTCACCCTGTGGATCATTGCTGCCATGTGCTCTTACGATCTCTCCAAAACTTCATTATCTGCGCCCCCCAAATCTCCGTCTTTTATACTCTTTACCCTCCCTTTTTCCCCTTGGCTTCTCTCCTTTCATGTGATCCTGTTCTCCATCATCCTTGTCTCTTTCTCCTACATGTCCTTTATTCCTTTTCATCTCCCCACATCTTCTCTCTCCTTCTTTCCAACCTCTTCAAACTCTTTTTCTCCTCTCTACACCTTTTTTCTCCTCCTCCTCCTCCTCCTCTCACTATCTTCCAAATCTTTCCTCCTTTTCTTCCCCTCCCTACAATCTCTTTATTTCTTTCCTCTGTTACCATCTCCAACTCTTTCCTACTTTCCCTCAACCTGTTTTCCCGCTACTTCCTCCCCACACTTCACTCGTCTTCCTCTCGACACCCTCTCCTCCCCCACCTCCCTCCATCTTCCCGATGCCCAGCAGTAAGTACCGGCCTACATCGGAGCAGCACAATGATAATTTCTCGCTGTCCACCATCGCTGAGGGCTCCCACCCAAATGTAAGGAAACTGTGCGACACCCCTCCTAACGTCCCTCATGCCCGTGCATTGGCTTACTATGATAACATTATCTGTCAGGTAACGTGGTTCTCGCCTCTCTCTCTCTCACCCCTTTTTCTGCATCTCCCCCGCAAACCCTGCCCGGGCCCCCTGACTCCCACCCCCCCTAATGCATGGGCATGAGTATTCTCCGATACTCCGAGGTGTGCAAGGCTAAGGACGGGGATGGGCGAGGGCGAAAAATACGAGGAAGGATGGCGGGAGTTTTCTTAAGATGCCAGGGAAATACAAATCCAAGGGGATGAGATAAACTTTTTGATGAACATAGAAGCAAACATATTTAATAGAATAGATAAGGCGATTAATAAAGTCCATAGATATGTATATAGTATCAGGTTACCAGAAATTACTTATACTAGAATATAAGGAGCTTAAACTGAGAATGATAGTAAAATAATGACTTAAGGTTCACTTTGATGCAAGTTTCAAGGGTCTGCTTGATTTTCAAACAGGAATTAATCGTCAGCAAAAATGTTACATGGAAGGTTGGTATGGACCCCAAAATGTCAACAAAAACAACACATACAAACACACATATAGTATCTATGTGTATTCATGCAGAAATGTGTGCACAGGTGGAAAAAGACACGCACGCACACACAAGAGCTGGATACATGCATATTCAACATGTATCAAAAACGTATTTTATTCAGTATATTGGTAAAATGGAAAATGAGAAAAAGTCACTGTTATGCTCCTTCCGTACTCTACCCGACTGTACAGTATTGACGGGAGGGTAAGTATCTACCGCAACAGCTCAAAGTAAGAAGTATGCAAGGAGTGACTGAGCCCTTGCAGACCGTTACCATGGCAACGAGACAGATGTCAAGTCTCATAGTTTCACTGTGTTTATTGATTTGATTTCCCTGGTTTATTGCTTATTGATCTTATTTTGAAGGACAAAACACACACACACACACACACACACACACACACACATGCAGGATGACAAAAGTTCAGGTACTGTGTGGAAGAGAGGACGCGGCATAAATCAGTGTTTGAATCAGGGCACTAACACAGGGTTAGAGGTTAAATCCCCCCTGAAACTATGCAGGCTGAACATTTATGGATTGTCCTCACAGCGCAGCTAGCAAGCCGCCCTGCCTTTAACTTGACCCGTTTAAGAGAAAACTCCCACAATCCTTCACTGAGACCCCTCCCCACCCCGTCTCTTTTCTAACCTGCTCTCTCTCTGATCACCTCTTGCATCGGTATGACGCTAACATGCGCCACCCGGTGGCCATGTCAGCCACTGCAGCTCTGCTTTGCTATCTGTTTCTAGATTTGTTCTTATAACAAAATGTCTGCTTTACTTGTTTATCCTGAAAATGGTTGGGGAAGTGGGAGGGACTGTTATGATTGGTAAAGAATGGTTTATTGTTTTTTTTTTCGGGGGGTGGGAGGTAGGGGAAGGGGAAGGATTGACGTCACAAACAGGTAAGCTAAAGGTGCGGGATATTTGTGAGAAGTGGTCGGGGTTATCAGGATAAACATCTGAGATGCAACGCCTTGCGGCTGCCTGCAGGTGGCGGCAGAGAGCCGACAGGTGCCTCACTACCTGAAGCATGGGTAGCTGGTAGCAACAATGCTAGCGTTGTAGCAGCATGGGTAGTTCTAGTGCTACAACGGAGGTAGAGTTTGTTTTGTTTTGAGTTGTTTTTAGGATGTGGTACCACCCTCTAACTACTCCATCAGTAGTTCTGTTCACTTGGAAAGCTGCAGCAACTAGTTGTTTCTATATACTTCTCATTTCTTTCATACTAGCTCGACAGTTTTAGACATCTAATTTCCTTAGAAGACAGTGTCTCATTTTAACCACAACCAACTACCATTTTCACTACCCTGACAGACAAGTAATCCTAAAAGAATAATAATTATAAAAAAGTCCATCATCACCTCCTAACAGCATCTCTAAAATGTCAGCTTCCTAACTCAACACCACCTACAATCACAGCCCCCAAAATCATCCACTGGATTGAATAGTACTTGTAAATACTTTAAATGGTTTGTTTTAGCACACTTTAAGGTGCTAAAAGTGAGGTTTTTGGACCATTAATATAACTATGGTATAGTGTGTCACAGTTGTGAGACACAAACACTCAGGTATCGAGCATTTATGCAACTCAGTGCACATTCGCTGGAAGTGCCATGCTGTTCCACTGATTGACAGTTGGTGGCAGTAATGTGCCAAGAAATGCAGAAAAGACAGAATTTTGGTAGTCTTATTCTCCCTGTTTTGCTAATATTTAGAGGCTTATAGAGCTGGATCTGCAACTTTAGCATGTGGAGCAATAACTTGTTGTTATTAAAGTTAAAGTATGAAAGTGTTCCTGCCTTTTGAGTTGATTTAAGATCTCAACTGATGAGTTTTAGTTATTTTTAACTTAAATGACTTACGGATATTGAAAACTAAACCTAAAGAGATTTGAAAGGATTTGATATGCTGATTGGATCCAGAGTTGATAAAATGGCATCGAACCCCAACCTTGGTGTTAAATGAGTTAAGTCAGTCAAAGGAAAGTCATAAAAGACATCATCTTGGTGTAAACTCTGACTGACAGCCTTTTTTGGCTTTCTCTGTGGTCCAGATGTGGCACACTTTGCCCTCAACAGATTTCCAACTACTATTCAGTCCGGGTTTATTTTCTAATACATGTTTCAATAATGTACAAAACTCACTTAGACTATGGGCTTCCCCAAACCAAAAAACCATACGACCTCACCAATTTTCCTCTCAAATACACCCACTAATAAAGCCAATAACCTCAACTCCCTTTCAAACTAATAGCCCTGAGTCACGACGGTGGAGAACCTCACCAGAAATATCCAAACCTGTATTTACTGTGGTATCACAGAATAATGACCAGGCAGCACCGGAGAGTCTGTGCTTCTACCTCAGAGATACTGTAGCCAGCTGGGAATATCAGCTGGCATCTGAAAGGAAGTTTAGTTACTCCTACTATTGGTCTCTGTCTCCAACACTCAATTTCTTTCTGTCTATTTTATCTGTCTGCTTCTATCTCTTCCTGTCTGCTTCCTCTTTCTCTCGGCTTCATCTTTCTTGCTACTTAATCTGTTTCGTCTCTGATCTGTCGCTCCTTTCGCTCATCTTCTTTCTCTCAGTCTCTCTTCATCCTGCGGCTTTCTCTCTCCGTCTCTACCTGTCTTTCTTTCTGAGGATGCCTTGTATGGTTTTGAGGAGTATAACCCTTTGCCCCATCCCCCTCCCCTCAGAAAACCATGAGCAGATACACCTGGGAGTGTAAGACCAAAGAGGAGTCCGACTGCGAGGTAAGACCAAATCCCAAATTGTCAGATAGTCCCGCCCCCCTCCCTCTCACCTTTCCAAACAGCTCTCTCATTGTTACTGTGGCCCTGTCAGTCACCCTTTCTCAACTCTCAGTGGATCAGTCCAAGTCTTACCCCCTCCCACCAAATAAATAAAGTCAAAATCATAAAATCATGACATAAGACAGACCTACACACCTAATGTCACCTGTTAGAACTGAACAGACTTCTTGTATATGTCTCATTAAATGATTCAATCTTAAAGGGGAGCTCCACCCATTTTATGCATCAAAGTGTGTTTACATGTCTTGGACCTGGAGTCCATTTGTGCTTGCAATGTAGTTGTAGCACAGTGAATTACATGTTAGATGCTTGATAAAACCTTGAAAATTGTATCTAATCGCCCCTTTGACACACATTAAAGATGCAGAGCCTGGAGGTAAAATCCAAAACAATCATAAACAGACATGAACACTGCATTGGTCCTGCGGCAGGAAACTGTTGACCTTGTGAGGACCTTGTCACACGTCCAGACAGCTACACACACACACATATACACACACATACACAGAAAACCCCTGCAGTTGGTGGAGAAAAGGCTGAATTTATAGAGAAATTGAACCATACACAAACACAGAAAAAGGCAGCCATGTAAAAAACAAACACATGCACGCACACATTTTGCATACAGCCAACACACACACACACATGCACACACACATACACAGCAGTAATTTCTGAACAATAACACAAAAAACACTTTCCGTGCAGTAATAGAACGCTTTGTGCTTCATTCACTGGTAAATTGAACCCTCTTGTCCTCAATCTTCCCTCCACAGTAATTCAGCTGTAGTTCAGCCACACTGTTTCCTCTGCAGCAAACAGTGAAATGGAATTGTTTTTCGTCAATACTAAATAAATTCAACACAGAAAATGAATTGACCGGCCAGAGCTGGCCGCAATTTCTAAGACAATTTAATTTCCATCGATTGGATCAGCTCTCAACAAAACTGAAAGTCAAATGCAGCAGGTATGCAGCAGAACTGTCCATTTAAAAATGAGTAAATCTGAATATGTTAATATGATCCTTTATGCAGTGACAACAGAAACTACTGGCACCATCTAGAGAGACCAGGTTCTGTGATTTCTTATTGATCTCATCATTAAAGTAATATTTATTTTTTAAACTGTGATGTGCTTAAATATTTTAATCTGAGGCCCAAGCATAACAAAATGACACACAAGTGTAACTGACTCCTAAACAGTGTAAATTCAAAACACATTTAATCAGCTGCAGGGAAAAAGCTGAATAAAAATACTGATGCAGACACAAACACAAACTCTGCCTGCACTCTGAATCCAACAGGAGACAAATGATAACGGTTTCAAGCTACACATTTCATTTTAAACAAACATACCCCATTGCTTCCTGCAAAAAAAATTGCCTTATACAATAAAGATTGTCTTGTTTACTTAACTTTAAGCCCCTGTGTGTGTGATTCAAACATTTATGACTTTGGCAACTCCTAATGGTAGCTTAACAAGAGTCTACAGCCACACTACTGGCTTTGTGAGGCTGTACTTAGACACAGTGGTGCTGTTTAGCAGGAATAATGATTACAATGTTCATGTAAGTGTAATTCAATTCAATTCAATTTATTTGAATAGCTTCAATCCATAACAAAAGTTATCTCAGGAAACTATTCATATAGAGTAGGTCTAGACTGTTCTCTTTATAAAACTATTTACAGAGACCCAACAATTCCCACCATGAACAAGTGCTTGGCGACAGTGGCAAGGAAAACTTCCTTTTAAGAGGCCGTCTGCCTCGACCAGTTGGGTTTAGTATAGCATGTTAATGTGCTGGCATTTGCTAATTAGCACTAAAGACAGAGTTCAGCTGAAGTTGATGTCAAAGTTTTGCAGGTATTTGGTCATAAACGAAGGTATTGGACAAGTAGAATTTCTTTACCTGATGATTGCGCCATCCATTTGCTGTCAAGAAATTCCATTCAAAACCAAAAATGTCAACCTCATGGTGGCACAAGAGGTAAAGTCAAGGGATCATTAAAGTCAGTAGGATTCAACACGAATGTCTGTGCAAAGTTTCAGGGACTTAAATGGTGGACTATCCCTAAAAAGAAACAAACACATCACTTAAACTGCACCCGTTTCAATATGGTTATCTAACTTTTCTACAAACAAAAACGTATGTCCTCACAATTATTTGAAAGAACTTTAATCACATAAATAAAATCTACATACATGGGCTTTAAGAAGATTAACATGTTGTAATGTTTATTTCCCCATCTGCTATAATTTCCAAAAGCTTCTGTTGTGTCCCTGGAGTCTGAAATAGGTCATATTGCACCTTTAAAGCAAACGTAGAATCCAGCCTTACCAGCCCACTGAAACACAAAAGGACATTAGGAACTGTCCATGTGCCTCCATCATCATCATCATCAGAACCCTGTTTATCTCTGTTCCCACTCCCCCCAAAATGACAACCACTCTAAAGTCCTTGTGACTCTGTGCCTCCCACCCACTGCCCGCCCCCCTCCACCCATGCACAACAATGAAATCCAACAAACAAAAACATTTTCCAGTTTCACGCTGACGGGAGGACAGAGGGCCCCTATCCCGTCACCATGGAAGTGACGTATCCACACGTCCTGCCTGAAGTTACTATCTAGGCCAACAGCCAGCGGGTAAATGCTCTCACTGCTCTTCCTTTCTAAAAGTGCCATTGAATTCAAACGCAAACATTCAATTAGGGTGTGTCTGTAAATGGCACAGGCCTCTGGGTCTGGAATTTGATGTGTGTGTGTGAATCTGAATGAATGTGTCTATCTCACCGTACTACGCTTGTGTGTTTGTCTGTAAGGGTGTGTATGTGCCCGTGTGTGTGTGTGTGTGTGTGTGTGTGTGTGTGTGTGTGTGTGTGTGTGTGTGTGTGAAAGAGGCACAGGCGGACGCCCCAGGATGCCGGGGCGCAGCAGGGTCGATGATGCCATGCAATATTAATGGAGATAAGAGGCTGGAAAAACAGAGCTAAAATGGACTCCACAATCAATTTGTTCCCTCTGACCTTAATTAAATTCAAATGAATTGAATTGAAACCTCTTAAAACACGTTGTCCCCCCCCTCCCCAGCGACTGCTTGGGTATGTATGAAGGTGGTACCCACAGATAAAAGGCCAGGGTGGAGAGCTGAACTGTCTTTTTGTTTTGGGACAATAAATGTAAGGAGGAGGTGAAGCAGGAGGAGATGGGGCGTTCTGCATGAGCGATCACTACTGTACATGGGGGCATATGCGAAGGGTCTTGCATGTGGATGTGCATGTGCTTCCTGGGTTGCCTGAAGAGGGGACGGGCGGGGTTTGGTGTCGCTCATGCAGCTCACCTCACTGTCTCCTCAACCAAACACAACATGCCAGCCGAGCATGATGATTATCAGACAGTGGAGCCTCCAAACCACTGAAATGGCTGCTGAAACTAGTTTTGCTTGAAGTAACAATACAAGAGCTGCAATTTGATTTTGTTGAATATTTTATGGGGTTTTGCTGCATTCTGGCAGTCTCTAAAGGATCATACCAGTGTTTCCTTTCTTCAGAGTTCAGTTTTTTTTATTACAAATGAACTATATTCTACCTGAACAAACAATGCTGCTGTGTTTTAGAAAATTGAATGTACCATATTTTTTCAACCGCTTCAAGGATCCATTGGCTTTCTGTTAGTTTCTCTACAATTTGAAAATCTATTAGCCAACTCTTGATGTTTGCCTGAGTTGTGTAACCCATCACAGCAAACATCAAGTCTGCATGTATTTTTGCTACATTATCATAAAGTTAGAAAGTCTGCTTATTTATTTTCCCACTGTACAGAAAAGATTGGAAACCAATAGCTACCTTGAATAATAGATCAAAACAATCTAAAACTGTAAAGCAAGCATTCAGAAAAGGTCAGCAAAAATGCAGAGTAAAGATTTGTAGGTAAGGAGCTAAAACGTGCAAACGCACTGGTGCGGTTCTTTAAAGCATGAAGGTGGAACATGGAAATCTGTTGGAATGCATTAAATAAAAGACAAATCCAAAGCTCTGGGATTCTTCAAAAGCCCATTGAGCCTAAGTTCATCTTTGTTTTCTTCAACCCGGTCACCAGACAAGAGCGCCGATGTTGGGCGATTCTGCAAACCACTTGATTGCGTTCGATGATTTTTATGTCCAGTGCTAACATTTTTAAAACTCTCACTTTCTACAATATCTGTACATGGTAACTCCAGAAGGGTTGCGTTTAGGGAAAGAACATGGTTATGGTAAAGAGTCTAGAGTTAGTCAACTATAGAAACATTTTGGTAACAGTTAATAAAAGGACAATTGTTAATTGGCGGTCTGTGGCTGGACGTGAACTTTGGTCATCCACATGAAAGTCCAATGCCCTCCACATACCTTCAGCCTCACTACATAAAGTACAGACTACTTCCTGAATTGGCACTGAATGTTGGCATTGGACGTAAATTGTGAGGTGCAGAATCATCAAATATGGAAGTATTTCCTTAGCGTTGAAGGGCAGGTTTACTCTGTTACTGCCTTTAAAAAAAGATGAACGTAGTCTTTGAGGAAGTCCAGTTCTGAAGGGTTGCTCAGAATTTGCTACAAAGGCTTTAAAAGAATTTAAGAGTAAAATATTCTGCCAATTGGAGGGTCAAAGTTGCTACTGAACATGAAACTGTTGTTGTGGTTCTAACTGTACTTTCTACCCCCCCACCCCTCCCTGGGTAGGATGATCCTAATTCCCAGAACAAGCTGGAGGACCCGGTGAAGGCCCCGCCCAAGGAGGACGACTCCCTCAACATCCACAACTCTCTGACCCCCAAACATGAGAACCACAAGGTCCTGGGCGAGGAGAACTCCTCGGAGGTAAACTCACTGCAGAACAACATGATGTGAAAACAAAACAAAAAACAAAACAACCCCAGCAACCTGACAACACGACACCGAAAACGATAAGGTGCGCCGGCAACGGGAGCCCCCAAATCCCTTCCTGCTCTCCGTCAGTCCGCTGCCGAGTGCGCCTAACCGGTCAACCAACCAACCAACCAACCAACCAACCAGCCTGCCAACGTACCAGCCAACCAACCCAGTCTGCAACAGTCTCCGACACGGCAACACTGCCACCAAGCGGCCCGGGCCGCTGCAAAAAAAACGCCACTACTACCGCCGCCACTGCCCCAGCTGAGAGTAACCCCCCTCCCACCAGCCTCACCCTGCCGCCGCCTTGCAACCCCCCCCCAACATTCACTCACGCCCCTGTTTCGCAGCCCCGCCCTCCTTGTTGCTGTCACTCTACTCTCCCTTATCTCTCTTACCTGCGCACACACACACACACACACACACACACACACACACACATATAAGAATACACATACAGTGAAAAGATAAAAAACATAAACACGCTTATATGTATACACACAGACACACCTTCCCCTGCCTGCATTGGTGTATTTTGTAAAAAGAAAGAAATCATACAGAAGTTTAAAAACGTACGTAAAACGTCATTGTAAAAAAAAAAAATTAAGATAAAGCTACTGAGAGGTTTTGATGTTTGTCTGACTAATCCAGTGAGTATGTATAAATATTGGAAAAAAAAAATTTGCTTGGATTGATTTAAAAAGAAGCAACACAATGTGTCTTGGTTTTCATTGATGTGATTTCTAATCCTTTGATGTACTTGTTTTTTTGTTTTTTTTTGTACTTTTTTGGGACTTCGAACAGAGAATAAACAAACAAGATTCAGACAGTTGTTGAAATAAACCTTTTTAACATGACCTCTGTGGATCCTGTGTTTTCCTCTGCGTCGCCTCCCACCTTTCTCCCTCCCCTGATCTCCAACACTCTCTGCATGGCTTTGAACGCAGCTTCTTAGATCCTTGTCATAAATGTGCCTCCCCGCTTACACACACACACACACACACACACACACACACACCCTGTGGTGGACACATTTTCCCATAAGTCTTACAGATGTAACTTCTAATTTTATTACCACACCAGTAATAAATTGTTCTTTTAATAGATGCCATTACTTCTAAAAGCCAAATCGTTTCACTTCATCCAGCCAATCAGAATACACTTCCATATGAGCTTGAATGTTCATTCGTGACCTTTGATAGGGTAATATACTTATTTGGCTTCTCCAGAGCTTTCAGCCACATCTCATGGCTTTCTTCGGCAAATAGAGTTGTTGTCATGGAGATGTTGAGCTGTTATCACATGACCACAATGCCAAACTTTCCAGTGTTTTCCGTGATAACAACTAAAGCAACTCTGTGACAACTGAGCTAAATCATGAAGTCAGCTGAATCATTTAGTTGATCCACTAAAAATCTAGAGCGCTGTAATGAGACAAGTTATTTTAACTTAAAACCAACGGTTGAAAAGTTCAGTAACTTTTTTTAAGTAAAAAAATATTCTTGATTAAGCAACTTTTACTAGTTACTACTTTTCACAGTACAAATAAAAATGATAGTGTCACTTAGTCACATAATGACTAAAGCTGCTTGAGCAAGAATGTTTTTTAACTTACAAAATTAAGTTAGTTTTACTTAAAATTTTCTTTGTAATCAATTTCAACAATTTTTAAGTAAATGATCTTGTTTTATAGTGAGGCAAAGAAACCCTGTTGATGAAGATCTTTTAACTGATCTCATTTTTATCTCTGAACTAAACTCAACTGACTCATTTCTCGCTCTTTGAGTGAGTTACAAGGGTAAAACACGAGCAACTGCCTTGGGACCCCGGAAATTTACTGTGTGCCAACTACGCTGATTTAATTAAAATGTAGTTATAGGAATATGCATCAGTAAAACACGATGATATGGTAGGATACTGCTTCATTTTCTAATGTGCAGGGCCTGGCTTGAAAGCAGTCCCTGCGTTAAAAATCAGTTTTTAAGATCATGTTTTGTATTCATAATGAAAATATCACACAACAAACTTAACGGCCAGGTAGTATTTTAGCACAGAAAAAACCGGGGGGACCCCTGGGAGGTTAATTGGCTCTTGCTGAGGTGAGAAAATATATAATTCCCGGGTTTGTGAAACCAAAACATCAATTACGACCACAACATATTGATTGTGGAGGTTGCTTTACTTTGTCCTTGAAAAGTAAGGATTTTAGACTAGTAACACATACACAAAGCAATCATATAGATAGACAGATCTCCCGGGTCGACAGCTGGACTACTGTCAGAAAATCATCTTCACTGCACATAAATCATGACGGTCAACACCAGGTACCACTCTGCTGCTTCTGCATGTTTCCTGCCTCCAGAGACGCTTTCCTGTTTCCAGCTGGACGCACACACATGCAGACATGCTCACACATGCAAATACATAACAGTTACACAAGCACACACAGTATATAAAGAGTGACAAATGCACATCTTCCGTAGACAAACACATAATAACACACCCACACATGCAAACACATTTGCACATTAAGTACCTATAAAATGGTTTACAGCACAAATTAAACTCGTTGGTTGTCAAAGTGGTTGATCAAATTTTAACAGTCGCAGTTTTGTAAAGTCAGAGACATTGAATGATCTCTTTTTTCTTTTTTCAAATGGACATGTAGAGAAAGCGTCTGTTGCACACTTGGTAAACATGTGAGTGAGAAAATGAAATCACATGAAAGTAAAAAGGTTAAGTTTGTGCATATTATCAGCTTTGAGTTTATTATCAGACATCAAGTTCACAATATGAAGCAACATCTTTATATTAAAGCCACAGGCGGCAACAACCGATTACACAGAAGAAAAAAAAGACCTCAAAATCAGTCAGAGTAGAAAACAACTGAGAGGGCAGTCACTCTGCAGTCACCTCTCCCGACTGCAAACCAGTTGGTAGTCCTGTTGGTCTGCGTGCCTCTTCTACTTCTGCCGACTGGGTTGAACCCTCCATTACCCACAGACAGTGTTAGACTAGCAGCCACTTTTTGCTTTCTTCCTTCCAACATAGAGGCTAATCAGAGAGTGCTAGAATCACGTAGGGAGAATCAGGGAACCAAGGCGCACAGAACCATTAGTTTAATCGTCAGCACCAATAACGTAAGGATGAGGCAGTCACAGATCACAAAAGAAAGCTGAGCAGTTTGCCAGAAAGATGAGTCAGCAATAGTGATGAGTCTGGTCAATTTACCCTTGATGATGATGAGACGTATAGTAGGTTTATTCCACTTAACCGCCGGCTGTCTCGTTACTGTAGTGAGCGAGGATTTGGTTTTGTTGATAACTGGCCTTCTTTATGGAGTCGCCCTGACCTGCTGAAAGCAGCCTTCACCCAACAGGAACAAGTGCCAGACTATCAGACCGTTCAACGACGTTGAGTCTCCCTCTCGAGCTGTATTACTCACAAACTCTCTTTCCCTGAATATGTGAATCATAAACCTTTTATTGTCATCTTTGCCACTGGCATCGGTGATGTGTCCCACAAAGCACCTGATAAAGTCCTTCAAAACTAAATATCTAAGGTGAATTGTGCCCCCACACCGTGGTCATTTTTAAACTCCATCTCAGACCTTGTGACCCATTCTGATGAGAGTTTAATTATTGGCGATTTCAATACTTTCGACCCTCTGATCAAAGCCTTTTTGGTGATTCTTTTGTATGCGAGCCTACTCACTCCAGGTCAACACCCTTGACTTGATTCTGTCACGCTGGATCGAGGTTTCAGCTCTGACTGTCTCTCCTGTCACATCTGTGATGTCAGATCACTTTCTCATTAAATTTGAAGCGACACTAGCCTGGCCTGTAATGTTGGTGCTGATGTAGTTACTGCTCGCCACATTGGTCTGTCAACTCTGGTTGCATTTAACTCCAGTCCATTAATCTGACAGCTTTAGTTACTTCTTACTTTGCCAAATGTTAATTGTATTAATACAAAATATAGTGCTACATTATTATATATTACTTCAGATAAACCAAACAGAATATGAAGCAGTTACAATTATCTCCACCTTTATCAGCTGCAACATTAAAGTGATGAAGATATTAATACCTTTACTGAAGTAACATTTTGAATGCCGGACCTTTACCCGAGTTAATGTTAGAGTTAGTGTTCGTGGCTCATACATAAAGATGTTGTTTGATTTCGGAAATTTGATGTCGGATGAGGGTCGATGACAGAAATGTTGTATCTGTAATAAACTCACTGCTGACATTGTGCAGGAATTCAACCTTATCCTTTCAAAGGGATGTATAGAAATTAATTCATATTCATCATCCTCGCACGCCTACACACACACACACTCACACCTCCCACATGTTTCAGCTCGGCTCTATAGAACTTTTTGTTCCATTCAGGATGCTGAACTGGAACAATAGAGCACACACACACACACACACATATGCACACTTACATTCATACATGCACAAAGCATCTGTCAGCTTCCCATGCTCTCTTTTTCATACACACACACACACACACACACATACATTTATACTTCTATACTTGTGAGGACCCTCATAGAGATAATGCATTCATTAGTCCCTTCCTTATAGAGAATTTAATAGCGCAGACAGATTTGTTTTCTTTCAGCACAAACGCTGCTGGCCTACTGGTAGGTACTCTTTTGATAGTAAAGGTTGCTGACCTTTGACCTAACCTAAATCAGAGGTGTTTTAAAATCCAAGTCTGAGTCCAAGTCAAGTCTCAAGTGATTTCAGACAAGTCATAAGTTGAGTTGCATGTAATTCAAGGCCTATTAAAATCAAGTGTCAAGACAGTGAGACAAGTTCAAGTGAGGGATTAGTTCAAGTCCTCAAGTCATTTGAGACAACATCAAATCAAGTCTCAAGTCATTCCTGAAGAGTCCCAAGTTAGACAAGATGTGTCTCAAGTCAAGTCACCAGTCATTTGAGACATGGTCAGGTCAAGTCTTAAGTCATTCAAAACATATTCAAATCAAGTCTCGAGCCATTTTACAGAGGTCCAAGTCACCTGATAAAAGTCTCAAGTAGTTTGAGACTAGTTCAATCTTGAGTCTTGAATTTGAGATAAATTTAAATCTGGTCTCAAGTCATTCAGGTCAAGTCCAAATCAGGTCTGAGTTCCTTTGGGACAAATCTAAAAAGTCAAGTCTTACATCATTTGAGTGCTTAGAGCCAAGCACAAGTCTTCATAACCAAGTTACAATTCAAGAGCCAAGTCTTTCAGGTCAATGATCCTGAGCATTTTTCTTAAACTCTGTTTTAATCTTTTTTAACAAAGCAATTACCCCTAATGATTAAAAATACAAGATTTGTCTCACACTTCTGAGACTTTAATATGTTTATTTCCAAGTCTTAAGTCAAGTCTTTAGGGAGTCATGTCTAAAGTGGGTCAAGTCTTAAAACAGTCAAGTCATTGTTTCACGTCACTTTAGTCGGGTCTCAAGTCTACAGCTCTAATTCTAACCATAACCCTTCGACCAAATCTCAGCCCTTTTGTGCAAACAAAATATTCTCTTTCACTCTAAAAGTACAAAACTTAAATTGGTTCCCACAAGGATAGAAGTACAACAGCAACACACACACACGTTCACCCATGTGATAAACAACCCTGAATGGGTCTCAGATGAGGCCGCAGTGTTGTTGGCCCTTTGTCGGGTTTCTCCTTTGGATCACTGAGAAAGCGACGGGTTAAACTGCTGTTATTGTGGGGGATCCTTCCCAGGGTGGAGGGGTGCTGATGGGTGGAGGGTGGGGGAAGGTCTGGGTGCACTTCTCTTTCTTCAAATAAATAAAGACGGGGGGGCAAGAGAGTATTTCACACCCAGAAGGTAGAA